TGTGTGTGTGTGTGTGTGTGATTTTTAAAAAAAAAACTGGGGATTGAACTCAGGTCCTTGCATTTGCAAGGCAGGCGGCAAAACTACTGAGCCAAATCCCCAGCCGCTGGTGATTTTTTTAAAGATCAATTAGACAAACGACTGCACCAGTTGTTCTTCCAATTCTTCAAAAATCTAAGTCATAAGTTAACACTTAAGAGAACAAAAGTGTTTTGAAACCTTATGTTTTCATCGGAAATATCATTTGTTCAACAACGGAATTTTTGTTCAAAATAATTGTATCTTAGCTGTAAGAGTTCTGAGCCATGGGCTAACGAAAATTTCCTGCGTATGTAATTGAAGATGATACGGCTGATCTCTGCATTGATTGACTTGGCTTGACTGAGTCCTGAGGGAAATTGTGCCATTTCGTTTCTGATCGAGTTCACGCTGCAACTTGCATGTCAAGAATTCTTATTGCAGGCACTGAAATGAAAGAAAAATAAGAGCCAATTTGTTTTCTAAGAAGCCAGATTTAAACAAAGGTTTATATACATTTATAGTTCAGTATTGTTTTTGTTATTATGACACCCAAAGATTACACAAATATCATGAAATCTGAAGTAATACTCTCTGCCTGAAGATGTAGGAAAGTAAAGCAAATGTGTTCTTTTTACTAAAACTTCATTTTTTATATATACGGGTTAATAGAAAATTGTACGAAGTCAGCAAGTCCTTAGAATCCTGCGCGAGTCATAGCATACCACAAGGTCGAGGTAAACATCCTGGCTTAGAGAAGACTGCACACTTCTGCGATTGAGAACCTAGAGAGGTTTTCACTGATCCCAAATACAGAACGGTTTCAATAACTGTTTATAGTACACCCTCAGTAATTTAAAGTCAAGCACATTTAGAATATAAAAATTTCTATAGAAAGGTAAACTAGCTAGCCAACCATTAGTACAAATGAAATCATATTTACTATGTGGTTCAATGGTCTTAGTAGAAATTGACTTCCATTAGGTATTCAGAAAAGTCACACATTTCTATGGCCTGCAGAATAAAACATGCTGTTTCATGATCACATTGATTTTGAAAGACATTCCAAGGATGACAGGTATTTGTTGTTGAAACACTCACAACCTGACCTTGGTATTATAAGCAACACCCATAAAGTATACTAATACATTTTTTAAAATAACATGGCTAGAGAACCACATTGAAATACCTCTACAATGTATTCACATTCGTCAGTGAACAGATACAGCAGGAATATTCTGGAAGGATGTAGTGCCGCACACCTTAATCCCGGCTACTCGGGAAGCTCAAGCAGGAGGACTGCACGTTTGAGGCAGTGTGGGTGACTTAGCAAGACACTGTCTCAAAGTAAAATGTCAAAAGGTCTGGTCTGGGGATGTAGTTTGTTGGTAGAGTACCCCTGGGTTCTCAGTATCACTAAAAGAAACAAGAAAAAATTGAACAAATCAATCAGATAAAGATAGACAAACAAGAGGTGGTGAGAAATAGGACCAAAAGAGTTTTAAGTAATCAGCTTTTATTTAAAATGAAAAACAGAGTAAAAGAACATGCTGAAAATAAACAACTGCTCCACTTCATTTTCTCTGAGGCAAAAGCACTGTGATACACATTAAAACCTTTTTCTTCAGCACAGCAGGAATGTATTCACCTTGCTTCTTTGGGATCCAGTGCGGAACTGTGCAGTAGTTAACTCTTCTGCACATGGGGGTGTGAATTGACTCCACACACTCAGGTGAACACAATTACCACAATATTAAATTTTCTTTAGACCCATTAGACCCAACAGAAATGATGTTCATAATACAATTATGTGTGTGTGTGTGTGTGTGTGTGTATATATATATATACAGAGTTTTTCAAGAAAGTATATTTAAACTTTGTAAGAGAAATTTGCTTTAAAATATTAGCAAATAATGTGAGATTTATAATGCATGGAAAGGTGAAATGTATGACAACAAAGTCCAAAGGTTGGAGGCGGAGAAATAGAAACATACTATGGAAAGCTTCTTCAATGAATCAAAAAGACAGAGATAGAAGGTAAAGGAAACATGTGAAACAAATAAAAAAGAAAGTAGAATGTGACAGTTTTAAATTCAACCATATAAATCATCATATTAAAAGCATAGGATCTAATTAGGCCACTTAAAAAGCCTGGAGATAAAACCACTTTAAGTATAGAGACACAAATAGTTTAGAAGTAATAAAAGAAAAGGTATGAATACCACCATTTAGATAATACAAATCTAAAGAGAACTGGATTAGCTCTGTTGATGTCAACACAAAATAACTGAGCAGATGGGCTCATTTACTGAATGTTGGTGATGGCCACACAGAAGTACACAGGAACCAAAAGGTAGCCAATGCTACCCTGCATATACGAGCAACCCCTGCGTGTCCATTATACATCCAACAAGCTGTTTCTAAAATTCTTGTACAAATAGGAATAACCACATAAATAAAAGCTCTGTTTCTTACCAGTCATTTACATAAAACAAGATAGAGGACACTAATTTATTTGGGGCTTACTAGAAACTCAATAAAGATAATGCTAAGATGATCTATGTGAATGTATCTCATTATGAGTCTAATCTAAAATGCAAAACATGATTTTGTTTTTAATTTAAAAAAACAAAACGATTGTGTTTCTAAAAAATTATCTACAATGAAAAAAACCACTTTTAGACTTTCCTTGCCTGATACCTGTATCACCATACCTGTGATAATTCTGTGACTGTAAATTGTGGTACACTTTGATCTCATGTTTTGCACAATTAACTGAAGATGTATTGATGCATTTATACAACTGATCACCCTTCCATTGAGGGTTCAAACTGATCAGGACTGAGAATTTGTGATGACTTCTAACCCAGTTCTGCAGGAGTGGGAATGTGTTCACTGGGGAATTGCACCCAATAAGTGCCACAGTCTTTGTTTGTTCCCAGTTCTACTCTGAAATGCAATGTGTGGAAAGTGGAAACAAGATCAGTGTGCTGGACAGAGAGACACAGAAATGTGCATCTGATTCTAGAATTTTTATTTCAAACAAAAAACATTACATGTTCTGAATCCTGCTTGCCTGCCTAGGGGAAAAAATGATTCCTTCTCCCAGCCTTTTAATCTTTCCAACTGCATAGAATCTATACCTTCAAAATATTCCCAGACTGAAGGAATTAGATGAAGTATACGAAGTCCCTGAAATATGTATTATATTCAAATTCAAGTTTATATTGCTCAAGTGCCTCATCAAACATTACCGAATGTAAATCTTGTCAGTCTGAATCGGTGTGTCCAGTATTTTATACACATGTATAAATACTATATATCAATACTGAAAGTTTTGTGTTATTTGTAAATATCCTTTGCTTCAAGAAATTTTCAAAACTGACCTACTAACTACTTTGACAATGTGTATTTTTGTGTATTGCTTGGTTTATGTCAAGGCATTTTCTAGTTATTTTATATCCACGTGTCTATGCAGTTTGGTCTCATGTACAAACATTGAAACAGTGAATAAAATATTTAAAATCAAGAATCAGGGTCTAGCTCCAAATCCACTACACTTTGGGACTAACCTGGAACAATATTATTTTTTTTCTCCCAATTTTTTTAAGCCTATTTCTTAACCATAGGGATCATATCCACAGGGTTGTTGCGAGGAATCATTGAGGTGATTAGCTAAATATTTTAGCTATCAACCGAGCATATAATGAGCACCACCCCTCAAAAAACACAAGAAATACCTTTGAACTTCAAAGATATGTTAGGGCAAAGCCCCCCAAATGATTATATTGTATTATATACCAATATGGCCACAATACAGCCTAGCATTGCTGAATACATGACAATTATTTATCCAAAATAAATGTTAATTAATGTTTCCTTTCTAAGCAGAGAAAATGCAGAATAATATAATGTGAAAAAACAGTGTTTTGAACTTTGGCGTGTATATTACATAACCAATTCTGGTTGGCTACTTTATCTAACTGACCATTTCAGAGTCTACAGATTAGACACGGCCTGCACGCTGCATGCGCTCCAGGGATGCACCCGAGAGACTAAAATCAAACACTCTCCACAACATTTTCAACAACACCTTTATCTGTCTGATAGTATAAAGTCTCTTACAAAGCCAAGTAATTTTCTCAGCTTATCCATCACTCTATTCATATGTTTTTCGTTAAATAATGGTAATCATAGTAATTTCTCCATCTTTAAATAGATGGAGAAATTTGTTTTTGCCAAGCATTTGTTGCAAAGCTGAACCTGAACTGCAAAGCTTAATACTCAAAATATATTTCCTGCACTCCCGGTCCAGAAAAATGGCCCAGTAAAGATCTTATATCCACTTATTGAAAACTATGGTGGAGCATTTGATGCAGCTACCCATTAGAGCATATCTTGATCTTTTCTTTTTAATTTTTATTTTCATTTGTACTTATCTCAATTCCACCACGATTACATTCATCATGGGGAGTTGGTGCCTGTACTTACATCTTCTTTTGTAGCCCTTCCCCATTTCTCCCCTGCTATCCATCACTTGGTCCCTTCCCTTTGGAAAAACTCTATCCCCCTGTTTCCTAACATCTACCTTTCATTTTGCTCTTTATTTATGCTTTGTATTTCTCATATAAAAGAAACCATGTGATATTGAAGCTTGTGTGTCTGATTTATTTCACTTAACATCATGGTCTCAGAGTGAAACCACTTCCCTCCAAAAGACTCCAGTTTTTCCTTCTGTATGGCAGAACAGTACTCCATTGTATATAAATACATTTTCTTTATCCATTTATCTGTTGAGGGGGATAGAGGCCACTATCAAGATTGATTTATTTAAAAAATGTGCTGCTACAAACATGGCTATACATGTATCACTGAAATATGGCATCTTTAACTCTTTCTTTCTTTCTTTTTTTTTTTACAAGCACACCACCATTATTCTTTATCTTCATAGTCCTTTAAAGGTTGTTATGCTCACTTCACAGGTCCCCTGTTATGGCTGGTGGCCTCTTTGCTGTGGATCGAAGGTGGTTTTGGGAATTAGGTGGATACGATCCAGGTTTAGAAATCTGGGGAGGAGAACAGTATGAAATCTCTTTTAAGGTAAGAGCCTCTTCACACTATGCCTACACAATTTTGATAATTCTGATTGAATATCATTACTCTGTTTTGTGACCTATATTTTGAGATGAAGTAACAACACTAGACACGCCACCTTCTCAGGTGAACTCCTGCATGAGATGCTACTTCTTTCTGCTGTTTAGTAAGATGTAGCTGTGCCATGAGCAAAACAAGTAATTCATGCACCAATTTTCAGGTGGAAATGTCAGTGCGCTGGCAGACTGCTGCTCCACTGACATTCTTTCTAAAGCTTTTAAGGACACAAAGATAGAAGAATGCAAATGCATTAAGGAGAAACAATAAAGTTATTGGAACTTTTGCTCTTTGTATTTGATCAAGAAATAACAGTTAAGATTTGATCATAACTAGTTTTTCCAAAATTCTAATAACTGAAAAGTGAACTTGAAATTATAAATCACAAATTGATCTCCTTCATATAAATTGAAAATAAGCTTCAGATTTATTTTTATTTAGACCTGTTCAGGTCTCTTCTTGCTCTAACAATCAATGGTCAATAAAACTCACTTTCCTCTTTTTTCCTTTATCATAGTCATTCTATAAAAGCACAGGTTGATTTTTGTTATATTTATACAGAAATTTCCTACCGAAGTAAATCAACTTTTGCCACTTATTTTCATTACAAAATTAAACCAGTTCTTGCTGAATAAAGAAAATGAAATCTGAATATGTGAAGTCAAAGAATCCAGATAGAATTTTAGAATTTATACATAAAGGGCAAATGACAAAATTGATTTTTATTGAACTGTAGCAGCTATATTTAATATGTTAACAGACGTGATGTTGTCTTTAAAGGATCATACAATAAATATCTACAAGGAAAAATTTAGGAATATGACAATAGGCTCAGGACATCTACAGTTTTCCTCTCACAATACTGGCAGTAATCCTTGAAATACCATTTATTAAATTGCTGCATTTTTACTCATTTAAGCACATCTAATTTTACAGCTAAGTACTTGTTTTTATGTTTTTAATGGATGCATTGTTTTAAATCTTTGAATTTTCCCATGTCCTTTGGGCTCCTCTGTCGGAATAGCTGGACACCTTGTTGCAGTGAGTATGCCAGAAGGTCATGTAACAGGACTATCTGAACGAACAGCATCCACCCCATTTACTTTGTGGTATAAGCCAGCTGCTGAGCCAATTGCTTGAAACACGTTGTCTAATTTTTAAATCACAACCGTGAAAGCTGAATGAAGAAACTGAGGCTTACAGCTTTAAAGATTCTTGATTACTTTTTTTCAGTTTTAAAGATTACATAAATTACTCAGTATCACTTTGGGACTAAAATGTTGTATTTGTAATATCATTGGAATTCAAGGGAAATTTATTGCTCTTCGCAGCTTAAGAAATTTTTTTACCTTAAGTTCTCTTAATTTATAAAATCCTTAAGCTTAAAACGTTTGTTTGCTTTGTTTTTTTTGGTACCGGGGATTGAAGTCTGGTCCTTGCGCTCGTAAGGCAGGCCACCGAACCGCTGAGCTAAATCCCCGACCCCTTAAGCTTAAAATGTTCAGAAAGTTTCCATTAAACAAGAGACACCTGGCTTTGAATGAGGAGCCGGATAATGGATAAAACTGCTGTGGAATGTCTGCGGAACTGGCAGAACACACATGCGCATTCTAAGTCCAAAAGTGATTTTTAGGCAAACATGGTTTTACATTCGAATTTCTCCTTCACTTGTATCTATCACATCTCTTCCAAGTGACCTGAGATTTTATTGCCTTATTTCCTATTTTTCACTTATCTGTCATTCTGAAGTAAATAACTGGAATGCATCCCTGTCATCTTTGTCTAAAAACCATGGCAACAGCTCCAGAAGACCAGGATTCAATTGCCTCAGGTTGTCTGGTTAGAATGACAGTCTCTTTGGCAACAGTTACATCTTCACAGAGTCCCCTTTCATTCTTCCCGCTACTGTTCGCAGACTTTGGGCTTCTGAATCCTCCCAGTCCATATTTGTAATATGAGAAAAGAGACATACTTGAAAAGGCTTTGGGAGAATTTGCATTGAAGCAAGAAGAATCTTCTGTGTGAAAAGAAGCAAATGTCTTGTACACAAATAGCTCCATTAAATGGTAATAAAAATCACACATCATCTGCACTTGTGCACATGTCCCATAGAGCATTATACGTGCCCATGAGGCAGCGCTGAAGTTTTGAGCATGGTGTATGTCACACCATAACGTAGAAACCGTTTTAAGTCTAGAGCTTAAATATTCTAATTCGAAAAACTTTCACAAGTGGTCATTATCAGGCACCTTTTTTTCTCATTTACCCTTTAAGAAATGAACCATTTTGCTGAAGTTTTTGATAAGATTCCATCACTGAATGAAAATATTTCAGAAATTGTTTCACATGAAGGACTGAGTTTTGGGTCAAACAATACTGTATTTTATGGACAGAGTTCTTCAGTTTTCTTCCTCTGTAAATATCTTTCCTTCCCTTTTCTAAAAATCTGGCATTAGGTGAGTAGATTTCCAGCACGGTATGATTTTTAGGAGTCAGTTTAGGAAAACAGCTCTCTAGAGAAATGATCTGTCCACACGATCTCCAATGTTCAGCATCTTTTAACAGGAACATGGACTCCCACATGGCCTGGAATTATCCAGCCAATTCTCAAATATTGCTAGCTTCACCAGCTGCTAGGGAGGGGAAAGCAGTATTGAGTCAATCATTCAACCAGCTTTTACTGAGCATCTAATTTATGTCAATTAAGGAACAATTAAGGTGTTAGTTCCAGGTGCTCAATTTGTAGTTGCACCTGGAAACAGACTGAGCAGAGTGATGCTCCAGAGAGAGTCTAGATCTTTAAATGTTATTTATTATTTAAGTTACTGAATCTCTGATTCTTCTGAGTATACTTTTACATCATTTTCCCAAAGATAAAAGTCCAAATACTAGAATTTCACAAGATGGGTCCTTTGATTGCAGAAAACTCCTCTCAGAAAAAAAAAAAATGAACATTAAGTACCCTAAGAGATTTATAAAGCAGCCCAAGGACTCTATTCTATAGAATTCTCTGGTGCAAGACAAAGTTTTGATGCAGGATAAAGAGAATTAAGTTTGAGCTTCCCTTCACCATCCCCAGGAGCACATCAACAGGTCCTACATTGATCTAAAATCTGTAGTGAAGAGCTCCTGATCGACTGCCTGTGCAGAAATATTTAGAGCTCCAGGTGGGATAAGTATAAATTCACCTCTGATGAACCTAATGCACCTGGGAGCTCACAGCCTATCAAAGTCACCCTTACTGGATTATAACATCCTAGTAATTATCTTGGGTATGTGCTGTCTTACCTGTGTGGTGACCATAAGGTAGAGATATTTAAGGAAACTCATTAATTCATTCAACAGACATGCACTTTTTAATACAATGTGCAACTTTCAGGTAAGCCCTTGAGATTCACAGACAAATGTAAAAAATTTCTCACTAGAGAAGCTTACTCTCCAGTAGAAGCCTGAAGAATTAACTTGCCATAATTCCTCATCCTCAGTGTTCTTGGGGATATATTTTATTTCCATATTCATAGTAATAATTCAGCACACATACAATAGCCTCTTTGCTAGTCTCTCTTCCTCTAATCTTTCTCCTCTCTCCAATATTTCATTTTTTTCCTGACTTGCTTTATTTCCCCCCTTAAAGTTTATAGTTGCTCCTAATATAACACAAATCAAATGAACCTATTGAATCCTAAACCATAAAACTTTTCATCAATCATCTTCCACTCCTAACTATTTCAATCTGTACCACACACCAGATTAGCTACTATTTTCCTTTTCTTCCCTCAAAAGATGAACCTCATACTTCTACAGTGGACCCTAAATTACAATCCACCTGGCACACAAACACCTTGGGTTAATTAGGTTAATGGAAGATTCATTTGCCTCCTGTTATCTATAGTGCGCACTGGGGTAAACACCCAGAGCTCAGCTATATTGACTCACAACCAACTTGAGTTACAGCCAGCCCTCAGGAATTTGTAAACCATTTGTAAGCCAGCCCAATCGAGCTCACAAGACAAGGGTCCACCACATTTCAATCCCTATTTATTATAGAGATGTTAACTGACCAGTCAGACTGAGTTCCATTCCTGAGAAACTTTTCTATTCTCTCCGCTGACATTAATCACAGTTTCTCTGTCCACATATCATGAAAGAGATGCTTTGCAGAAAATGACAAAGGAAGCCTGATAGAAGGCCTTGAAGAAAGTCCAATTAAGATGAGCTGAGACAGGAGGATCTCTGAAAGTTTGAAGCCAACCTAGGCTACATAGTAAATTCAAGGCCAGCCTGAACTACATAGTGAGAAACTGCCTCAAAACAAACAGATAAACAGAAAAGAATGATAAATGATACTAACTTTACTTCATGGAATATAGTATGAGACAAACAGATTTATAAGTAAATGAATAAATAATTTCTGATATTGGTTAAGTACTACAAGGAAATCAGACAATACTGCAAAGCGGTAGTCCCAAAATAGAGAACAGCTATGTTTGACTGACATGACAGTTTTCAAACATCTGCATCCATACCAAGTGAGAAGAGGGTGAACTAGGCTGCCCTGTATACTTCCCAACCCCTCCATTTCCCCAACCCCATACCATACCGGACGCCTGACTTGACAGACATATTCAGGCTCTGGTAGCCCCTCTTCAACACCTGGCTTTAAGATCTTCTTAACGGAGAGACTTTGGATCAATGACCAGAAAAGGCCACTGCAAATACATCCGAAACTGCACTGATGAGTTGATATGTGTTTACATGGATCTAAGGAGTGCTTAGATGAAAATCCAGAGACAAATCCAAGGTATAGATCAGGCTAAAGGAGATGATGTTGGTCCACTGGGACACCCCAGAGTAAAGAGAATCGGCAGCTTGTTCAATGGTGCTCATACTGGCCCTCCCTCCACCTTCCCCGGGACTAGACTCGAGAGCAGCTTGTTTTCCTCATACTC